GGTGGAGGGAATCATGGGTTATAGCCTAAGGAAAGGGGATGCGTGGTCAAGATGTCGAGTAGCCCAAAATTTGATCTTTTTTCGGTTCCTTTGCGGAACCCATGAGATGCTCACTAAGGGGAGATATGAGATTCGTAGGGGGAACGCGGTAAGATCGTTTGGGATGAAAGTGGATGTGACAACTAGTTCCTATGCTTAGCATATTTATGGGGGAAATTCTCAATGGTACTCTTGAGCTTTTTATTTTTCTCAATGGTAAACATCAAAAAATCAAATTATCTTTGGTAATCAGCTATTTATGTTATAAATATAGTGGTGACATTAATGAGATTAATCTACAATTATAAGGCTAACCATAGCAAACTAAAGGCGAAATGACTAATATATCCTTGAAAAATAAGATTTTCTAATATTTTTTTAACAATTAAATTATTTCAAAAAAACACCAAACACAATTTCCCCCAACCACCACAACCAGCTAACCGCCAGCTACCACCCACGGCTAGCCTCAATCCCCCTTCCCTCAGACCCTCCGGCGCCGACGCCGCACGAGCCACCAGCCCCCATCCCTACCCCACGAAACTCTAAACCCTTAAGGAGCAACCCCAACCCTCGAAAAACCCCAATCAACAAGGCAACAATGGCGTCGGAAAACCTTAAACCGCAAATATCATTTGAAATTTCAATTCCAATGCCGCAAATCCCCAACAACCACGTCGATCTGGACCTAGGGTTCGTGAAGTTAGCATTAGATTCATGTTACCCATTTCTGGCCGTCACAGTTGTTGAAACGATTCGTTGAACCCAAATCCGCTAGCCCGATTAGATCTTCATCGAAACCTGAAGCTGCTATAAATAGTGAAAATGATGAGTGATGGTGGTTGTGCTGTTAATGGTGAAATGATGATGATGTGATGATGATGATTATGGTGGGCACCGTGAAAAAAAAGAAAGGAAATGGTTGTTGGAGTCGGCGCCGGCGCCGGGATCGTGGGTAGCAGGGGCTGGCTGGGTTGGGGGAGGAGAAGAAGTGAGTGGGTTTTTTTAAAAAAAACATAAGGGTATTTTAGACATTCTCTTTTCCCTCCCTTCTAAAACATTAACCATGGTTAATATTTGTTTAAAATGCTTAAATAATGTTACCATTGTATTAGTTTATAAATTATAGATTACCATAGATAATTTAATATTTCAGTGTTTACCATTGAGAAAAAAATAAAACTGATGAGTACCGTTGAGAATTTCCCTTCAATCAACCTTAGGTATCTTATAACATGCATACCATGATTAACTTTAGAAAGGTTGTTATTCATTTGAATTATAGTCACTTTGTAGTCCATTTCACAAAGATTTTTTTTATTATTATTAACTGTTTTTCAAACTTTGCTCTTTATTCTTGTATTTTCCCTCATTTTTGCTTCATTTGTTTTTCTTAATAAGAGTTATAGGTTATCTCTAGGAAACCAATACGAGAGCATCACTCGTCCTCTAGGGCGATCTAGGGGTTTAAATGGCTTGTCTTTTGTTGCTAAAATTGACCGTGATTCCTACGAAAGTGAGTTAGTGTATATTCTCACCTCCTTCTTTTTCTTTTTATTTGAATAAGCCCTTATTTTTCCTTTTTAGCCTTTGTTTTTCTCGGGACGAGCAAAAGTCTAGCTTGGGGGAATTTTAAGAGTGTCATTTATGGCACTCATAGGGTAGTCTTTTAGGCTGATTTCATCCCTTTTTCATGCTTTCTTATCTTATTTTTGGTCCTTTTTCCTTCAGTTCCTCTCTTTCCTTCTTTCTTTGAGTTTTTCGTGTTTTCTTCGTGTTTTTCCCTTTATTTGGCCCTTTTTCCCTTTTATTCCTTTCCTTTGTTTTCTCTTGTAGGTACCTAGGATTTGTCTTTGCAAAGGGATCAAGATGAGCTATATTGAGTAATCAAGGAGGAAGCAATCTGCTTGGAGAGGGCTTGGAGAGGGCTTGGAGAGGGCTCAGAGAGGGCTTGGAGAGGCCTTAGAGAGGGCATAAGCCTTTTCCAGGTTGTCGCGGGCGCGGGATGTATGTGTTGCACCAAATTAGCCAAAATCGACCAGGAACTCTTCGCAGTCTGGCCGCGGGCTCCTCGCGGGCGCGGGTAGACTAGAGAGAGCGCTCCAGATTAGAGAGACTGCGGGCCTCTGATTACTCTTTGAGAGCAGGGGATTTGCCGCGCCCTTGCCGCGAGCGCGGGCTAGAAGACCTGCGGGCGCGGGTGCTGCCCAGACAGCCTGCGGAGTTTGTTATGGGTTTCGTACCCATTTCCCCGCGGGCGCGGGATTCCTTAGAGAGGGCGCGGGGAACCTGTTTTCCTTCTTTGCCTATAAATACACTTGTAATTCCTTTTTGAAAACTAACTTTTAGATAATTTTCATTAGCTTAGTTTTAGAGAGAGAAGTTAGAGAGAAGTTCTTGGATTTGGATTTATATTTCAACATTGGTTCAATTGCGCTTGGATTTCTTCATCTTCAATAATATTAGTAAGAATTTCTTCTTTTAGCTCATCTCTTTACTTGTTTGTCTTGGATTCATGTTTGATTGTTTGATTTCCTTGGATTTGAATTTGATATTGTAGTTGATATTGTTTTCTCTTGATTTTGATTTAGAATGATGATCAATGCAATTTCCAGTGATTTGTTCTTGAGTTACACCATGATTAGTGAGTAGATTAGTTGCTAAAGAGAAGGGAAAGCATGCTTGATTGATAATTTGTGCTAGTTGATGATAATTGATTGATTAATTGTTGAAATTAAATTGGTTGACATAGTTTTGCATGTAATTAATTAGATTAGGAGTGATCAACCTGTAAGATTAATCTAGATCGCATTGCAATTCTTAATGACATGAACCATCAATTTGAGAATTGTTTTAATTGATGGAGTTTGATTGTAATTCTCTTAGTTTATAATTTGTCATTCATAGTGACCCCTAGCTTGGCCTCTAGGAGATAGCTCTTGAATTCTTTTGATTGCTACTATTGTTTGTCCTTTGTAATGCTTGAATCAATTGAATTAATCATCAATTAGCATGATTATTTAACTTGAATGTGGAACCTACATCCCTAGTGTTTAGTTTCTTGAATTACTTGATCGATCTAGCTTTGTTTTCTCACTACAATCTTCGAAGTAGCTTGATTTAGGCTAAAGTTAATACCGACTCACTCCTTTGGGTTCGACCCTATACTTGCCTGATACTCGTATTAGGTTTGTCTAGGTTGTTATAAATTGTGTTTGATCTAGGGATAGACAATTAATGACACGTTTATTCCCATATCTTCTGCGAACTCCTTCCCCTCTGCGAAAGCAAGTTTATGATTTTTCTCCATCAGAAAGTCTGCAGCTTTGCTCCTAGTAACCTTGTCTCATAAATAATATCCAAAGCATACGTACTTTGACACACATAGAAACCATGTTTAATTCACTACGTGCCACTTCTAACCCCAAAAAATATTTTAAGCCTCCCAAATCTTTCAATTTAAAACATTCACTCAAGTATGTTTTAAAACTCTCTAATGAAAACGTGTTATTTCCTGCAATTATCATATCATCCACATATATCAAGACACTCAATTGCATTCTACCCTTTGAAAGAGTGAATAAAGAATAGCAAGAGTATGACTGTTAAAATCCATACATGTTTCTTCAAATTTGTGGATTATTTTTCAAACCAACATCTAGGAACTTGCTTCAATCCCTATAAGGACTTATTCATCTTGCAGACTTTATCTGAATTGCCTTTTTGAAATCCCGGTGGTACTATTATATAGATCTTCGATCCTCCTCTAAATCGTCATGCAAGAATGCATTATGTACATCCATTTGATGTACATCCCAATTTTTAATAGCTGTAACTGCTAAGAAAGTACATACCATAAACATTTTTTTCCACTGGAGAAAATGTTTCATTGTAATCAATCCCTTCTTCTTGATGATTACTAATAACCACAAGTCTTGCTTTTAATCTGAGTAACTTGCCTTTCTCATCTCTCTTCTCGGTATACATCCAATTACTACCAAGTGCTTTCTTTCCTTCTGGAAGTTTCTTTAAACTCCATATTCCTTTAGTCAGCACTTGTACAGCAACTGCAAAACAAAAGGATTCAGTGGAACAACTTTTCACAAGCTATTCTGGATTGCTGCTGATGCTTACAACATATGTGTTCAACAAAGCTATGACCAATATTCATGCCTACAATCCAAATGTTGTTGAGTACTTGAACAGTACAATTGAGGTATGGTCAAGGCATCAGTTTGACACAGCTCTTTGTTGTGATCATAACAACAAATTTTGTTGAATCCTTCAACTCATGCACCCAACCATACAGAGATCTACCAGTTTTAAAGCTTCTTGAAGGTAATGGAATGCTTTGTCTGTATTGTTGAATCACTTTGACACAACACTCTGTTTTCTCTGTTAATTCAGTTAAATGGTTTCCATTTTGCAGCTATAAGGCAATGGTGTATGAAGAGGATGGCTCCAAGGTTTGATAAAGCAACAACCATGGGAGATGGAGACCTCACTGACTATGCAACAAGATCCTGCAAACAAGATCTGATGAGTCCAGTTTCTGCTATGCAACACCATGTGGTGGTGATGAGTTTGAGGTGAGGGATCAGCATGTCTACTTCCCTATCAAGCTAGGGGCTGCAACATGTGGATGTGGGAAGTGGCAGCATTCAGGGATCCCATGCAAGCATGTTCTTAGGGTGATTTACCACCAAAGGCTACAACTTGTTAATTTTGTGTCACCTTATTTCAAAGGGAGGGCATACAAAAGCACTTACGCAGAGCATATGCACCCAATGCCTGACCAAACTCAGTGGCCTTCATTCAACCTCCCTGACATACTACCACCCCCAGTGAAAAGATCTGCAGGCAGACTTAAGAAGCGGAGAAGAAGATGGGCAAATGAAGCAAGAAAAGGGAAGAGGCATAGCACAGTTAAGTGAAGCCTATGCAATGGGTTGGGCCACAACATGTTGACATGTGCAACAAAGAAAAAGGTTGCAGCAGCTGAAGCAACAAGTGCAACAAACAACAACAATTTAGAAGCTGAAGCAACTAGTGCAGCTAACAACAGCAATGCAGAAGCTGAAGCAAGCACTTCTAAGCCCAAGAAGAGAGCAATGAAATTGAACTCCAAAACCCTTCTCTTTTGAATGCACAACATACTTGTTGATGGATTCTAGTTTTTGAAATATTCTGTTCTGTGTTGTGTTAGTATTTTTTGGGAAATATTCTGTGTAAACTTGAAAACAGTGGCCTTAATTTTTGGGTGAACAGTGGCCTTAATTTTTGGATGAACATGACTGAAACAGGAAGAATTATACAAAAAAAAACATGTTCAAAGTAACACTTTATTCAATTTCAATTGCAAATACATTTTGTTCACTTCATCATTACAACCACAAATATTACACACATCAATACACCAAATTTCAAAACAGAATTGAGAAGTTTTTGCTGCTGTTTCACTTTCTTCTTCAATTGCTTCAATTCATCATGCAAATTGCTATTTCCCGGTCCATCCCTATCATAGTAGCTTCCCATACTTTGACCTTCTTTCCGATTCAAAACTTTGCACCATTTGAAGCTATTACATGAGTCACACTTGTAATAAAGCCTTTGTGGATTTGACGTTGACTCCGGACTTCTAATCACGTATTTTCTGCCACAACCGCAAAATTTGTTTGGAACGTGCACATATGCACACTCGTGTGTTGAGGAAGATGTGTTTGATATCAAACTCATGATTATGTAAGTAAGAGGGTTGAAATATGTGTTCTGAGTCTTACATTTATACAAGAAAGGGTGTGCAACGCTACTTTGCCCCAACAATAATTCAAAATTGTTTAAAAAAACTAGTTGTTACTTTAGAGGTATACTGTGTAATAACTTAATTAAGTAATGGCATTTGGTGAAAATAGAAATTAGTTAGTGGAATTTGGTGAATTAAGAATCCCATTAACGGAGGATTAACGTTCAGGCCTCATTAATGGCACGACGTGACATTATACTGTTTGTCAATGACATTTGGTGAATTCTGAAAAGTTGGATGACATTTGGTGAATTTTTAAAGTTCTCAGTGGCATTTCATGAAATTTATTAACTTTAAAGGAATTTATCTATTTCTTATATATTCCTTTGAACCTTTTTGGTTCACTTTATGGTTTTTTTTTTCAAATGGTTTTTTTTTTTTATTTTAAATTTTGGTTTTTTTTTTCTTTGGGAAATTCCAATGCCATAATTTACAATATTCCATTAATTTGAACAATAACATTCAACATAATATATTTACAACAATTCTCAATTTTTAAAAAATTTATACAAAATAAACAATCACTCAAAAAATTAATCCAAACTTCCAATCAACAAAAAAAAAAAAAGGTGTTTTAGAGTAAGATATGAAATCCTAAAAGTTAGAAAGCAAGTAGGAACACAATCAAATCTTGATTATAAATAAAAAAAAAGTAATGTTATACAACTATTGAGCATAGAATCAATTTATTTGCTCCGGAAATAGTGATCATCAAAGCTTCTTATAAGAGATCGAGGATAAGACATCCAATTGAGCTACAAATACAAGCTAATAGTGTATTAATAATTATACGTATTACCTCTAAAATACGTAATAATAAGCTAAATATATAGCTAATAAATTTTTTATTTATTTTTTGGTTTTATTTAAATAAAATCTTTAAGAAACTTAATATAAAACCAAAAAAAGCAAAATTTAAAATAAAAAAAATCAAAGGAGTGTGAGGGATAGCTCAAGTGGTCAGAGCTTAAGTCTGATCTAATAATCGATTCTCATCCCCGTTCTTGTGGCTCTCTAAAACAAACAAAAAAAAATCAATAAAGTGAACCAAACCGGTTCAAAGAAAATTAAGAAATAGATAAATTCCCTCCAAGTTAATAAATTAGCTAGTTTGGGAGTTAAATTTTATAATTAGCCGTTTTGGTAAATACATTTCTCAAATTAGCAGTTTCGGCAATCTCAACTATTAATCACAATTAGTTGGATTTTACGAATTAATTAATTGGAGGAATAATTGGCAAATAAGATAAAAAATAAATAAATAACCTAATTTGAATTGAGAAAAACCACAATTTGATTTCACTAACCCTAATTACACATGATTTTCCTCTCAATTCTGAATTGTCAATTGGTTGAATTTGTAATTGCATAATTTAATACCCTAAATTGCAAAAATGCGATAAATAAATTCAAATTTGCAAGAAGAAGATATAGAAAGAGGGAAGAACATGGGAAATCGAGAGAAGACAGAGCGAAAATGAGGGAAAATGAAAAGGAGGTCGTTAGTGGGACCCAACATGACGTCATGTAGAAAGTGGTGATACTTTTTAGTGTTTTGAACAAAACTAGATGGTATGAAAAAAAAAAAAAAAAAACTTGAGGTGGAAATGTAAAAATTGACTATTATACATAATGGTATTTTTCAGATTTTCCTAAATAAAACGGAGAACAATGTAATACTCCCTCCGTCCTTAAATTAAAACCCTATTTCTTTTTATCATGTGAGCAATAAATGGTAGAAAGAGGTTTTGTATTGAGGGATGGACGGAGTATATATTTTGTGTGTGTGTGTGTGTTTTTTTTCATTTTATCTTATTGATTTTGCTCACTAAAATCCCTTGTACTCCGCAATACCCGGGAACAAGATAGAGAAATTCCCATTCCCACCCTCAATTCTCATTTACCAAACACCCCCTAAGTAGCGGCTCTCACACCATTCTTAACCATAAAGGAACCGAGCCTGAAGGCGTCAAATGGGGAGAATATTGGGCTAATGGTGCCGCTGATGATACCACTGCTCGTAAGTGGGTTGTCGCATTTGATACTACTGCCGGAAAGGTAAAATTATTCCTTATCTCAAAGATAATTTATTTAAGTGATTGTTATTTTTCGAATGACTACTGTAAAGTTTCAATTATATAAACAGTTTTTTTAAAAGAAAAATGTAAACATTATTTAAGATTTATTATTAAGTCAATGTTAATTAAAACAAAAAAATTGTCACAACCCACCTTTTAAAACACTTTTTTTTTTTTTGAAAAACACCTTATAAAAATTCTTTTGTGAAAGCACATCTAACATCAGTTTTTTTTTTGGGAAATTCTACATAATACCCCTGCGGTATTGACTATTCCACGTTGCGCCCCTCCCTTTGAAAAGTTCCACGCTGTAACCTCAAGGTTCCAAAAGTGATTAAGCTGTACCCCTGCCGTTATCCTTCCATTACATGTTGCCGTTAGTGGGGGTCCATTTTACACCTATTTAATTTTTTCTCGATTTTCGTGCTAAAAAAAGTCTCATTAAAGGTTTTAGGGGTCATTTTAGATCTAGAGGGACCAAATTGAGCTCGGATTTTGCAAAAAAGTAACGTAAAAGCCTCATTTTATGAATTCTAAATTTAACTGTGAGAATTCAAATTCACATAACGAGCTTTTACATTATTTTTTTTTTTTTGCAAAATCCAAGCTCAATTGGACCCATTAGGGCTAAAATGACCCTCACATTTTTTTTTGAAGTAACACTTTAACTCGGGTTTAAGGATTGACCCTGTATTCCGACATTGACACTTATGTGAGGGTCACGTGCTCAACCCTTCCTTCCTCAAAACCACCAAAACCATTGCCGCCTGGCCAACCCCAGCTGCCGACATTGCTACCTAGCCACCACTGGAACCACCTCGCAACCTCTAACGCTGACACCATAGCCGCCTACCCAAATCACTCTAACCCACCCGAAATAATCTCTTTTCTTTCTTTTTCCCCTATTTCCCCTCTAATTACACTTTCTCATTCCTCTATTCTTCTTAGAAAACCTTGAATTTTGTAAATTAAATGGAAAACTCCATTGTTTTTCTCGCATTGCGCGGCAAAGAACAACCTCGATTAATCTAATTTTAGGAAAAAAAAAATTGTTAAAGTTAATGAAATTGATTCGTTGTTGTTAATTTTGTTGGATTTTTTTATTTACCTTAGATCTAGAGTTTTTAACTGGGGAAAAAAAGGGGAAAAAACTACTACCTACCCACTTCTCTCCTCTTTATTGGTTTATGGGGGATGGTTGCTTTTTTCTGGTGGTCTTGGAGGCGGGTGTGGATTTTTGCGGGCGGGTTTAAAGTTATATGGGTGTGCCGTGATGGCGACTAGGTTGATGAGGGGTGGTGCCAACGACTGAGAGGTGGGTCTATTGGTGATTAGGTAGTGGTGTCGGTGGCTAGGGTTTGCTAGGCTATGATTTTGGTGGTTTGTGGAAGGAGGGGTTTAGCACGTGACCCTCACGTGAGAGTCAATGCCTTGACACCGGCCTTAAGCATTACCTTGCAAAAAAAAAAAAAAAAAAAACGGTTTTAGGTGTAAGGTAGTTTCTGATAATTTTTCCTAATTAAAATTCATTTTTTAATTTTGAAAATCATTCTTCTTTGCAAACATTTTCATAGGCTTACATTGAAGCAGGACCAATGGGTCCGGTTGATTGGAATGTAGTTGAAGTGAAACTGATTATGTCCAGATGCATATCAAAGCACACTTATCCCATTCTTGGAGGCAATGTACTGGCTGCGATCGATGGTTTCAAGGCATATGCAGAATTCCGCTAAACGATAGAGCTTGCCGAGCCGCTGAAAGCAACGTTACTATATGGTTTATGACTTTTATGTGTTGCACTACGAGTTTACTACATTGCTTTAGCTGTCAATCAAGAGCTATATTCGCAATTACTTAATTTCCTTTTTTATACCAACTACTACCTCCGTTTTATATTATTGCAACAATTAGACATTTTTCCTCTCTACTTTATGTCAAATCGTTACAAATAATATGAATCGGAGGTAGTATTTTTGTGTAACAAATAATAATGATGCTTCGCCACTCAGCCAGCAGACAATAATCTTCAATTATATGGAAGCTTATGTCATTCCAAAATCCACTAGCACTCTCTTATCAAAAATACTACTTGTACTACGGAGTACATCAATTCATTCACACTATTGCAATACAAACAAGCATTTACACAAACTAAATTAAAACAGCTAGCTAAAAAGGTGGAAGATTAAACTAAGCTAAGCTACTCGTATAAACCCAGCTCCCTTGAGAGAGCAGACAAGTCTTTGTGCCCAAACTCGCAAGCTTAGACCAAACATAGCAAGTTTTTCGAGTCATTTTTGAGTTGAGTTAAAAATTAACTTGACATTTTAGGATGTCCAAATCTTATAAAAAATTACTGTAAAAAATTAATTGAGTAGGCTGGCCCGAGCCTGAAACTTGGCCCCATGGCCCAAAATATCTGCCCAAAGCCATGTATATTTCTGCCGGATTGTTGATCACCTGACTCTACTTTCAGTCTTTCACCCAAAAATTTCAATCTCCAAAGCCTAGCTTTTTTTTTTTTTTTTTTTTTTTTTTTTTATTATTTTTTTAATGTTGTCAGGTTTGCTATTGTGTAATCAATGAAATCTTCGATGTATTTGGTGATTTACTATAGAAGAATTAAAACAATATTTTCAAAAAAAAATCACCATTGGTTACCTTTTTTAATATAACTTTTATGAAATATTGTATGGATATCTATTATCCTCCTTTATTATTTCGGAATGTTTTAGAATTAGGATTTATTGTTATCTAAGCAAACCCTAGTTATATTGTATGTATATATATATCCCCACTCTATGGAATAAAATAGACTGATCTATTCTCTCCCTAATTTCTTCTCTTTCTCTTTGATTTTATAACACGTTATCAGCACCAAAGCCCCGATTGAATTAGGTTAATCTACTCTAATAACCAGGAAACTAATCTTAGTCGATTAAGCATTAACCTTGGCCGATAAGGCGACTACTCGTTTAATTTAGATCTCAATCAAAGGTACGTATATACTTCAGACTGCTTTATGTAAATAATTCTATGTACAAGCGAATATGAATAATTTCGATTTTATTTCCATCGATTTGATAATATCACTTAAATTAACGTATACAACTTCTATTGCAATTTATTCTTTTTTCGCTTTATTTTGTTTAAGAATGATTATTAGAGCAATTTCATAATGAATTTGTGATTATCCTATTCACATGTGCACAATTTTTTTTATTTGTATAATTGTATTGCATTGTATCGTATTGGTCAATATTCCTTTTTTTTTTTGTTACTGTGACTTTGAATTAGTATAGAATTTTATAGCATGATCGGCAAATTCCATTAAAGTTCTTGAAATATTTGTTGATCATCAGTTGAACTTATTTATCAAAATCCTACCGGCTAATCAAGTCGGCAAATCGGTTACATTATTTTATCGTTTTGTTAATAAATAATAGGATTAAATTAACTATCTATGCTAATCTTTATGTTCAGTGTTATTGTTTATGATACTACCTAATTATATTGTGATTAAATAATAATTTATTATTATTTTCTTTATTGGCTATGATACGATAATTTTTAACAATATGGAAATCAATCCTATCCGATTAAGAGATAAGGAAAACCTATCATCATCAAGTTAAATATTTTGTATTTACTGAAATAATTAGCATGAAATTTATCATGAAATCATCACCTTTTATGTTAAGATTGAACTATATCATGATTTATTATACATGTACATGTTTTCCATGATGCAAAGTATATATGATAATATGATATGCACCACTTGTTGAGGTTGTGGTATATAGTGTTACTGATTCTTGCTTTTATCAAAACAAATGATTAAATAGTTTGTCTAAACTTCTTAATTATATGCATGAAGAACACAATTTGGTACCTTGCATGCGCCGAAGAGGTTGCAAAATGTTAACAGCCTAACAGAGTATCCATTATTATTCTCTTTTATAGGTTCAATAATTATCTTAAAAACTTCCTCCTTATTTAAAGCATATATGCTAGTTTTCTAGTACAATAGAAATAAACTTGTATTAGTCGTGGAGTACGTAAATGTGGATATTAATTGTGTTACATATTTAACTTTACGAGTCTAAACTATCTTGATTGAATCAAGTGATTATTGTATCATGTTAATACTGTCTTTGGTAGAATATAGTGAACCAGTCAAGTTGTGTAGCAAAGTATCAAATAGTACAATTTATTAAAATAAAATAAAGAGTCATAATTAGGAAGTTTCTTTATATGGTTCTGAATCTCTTTAATTATGAAGGGTCAAAAACTCTCCAAAATAACATGAAGATACGTATATGCCTTTAAATTACTATTAGTTTGTAAAGTATGTTGCTTAAATTATCTACCATTCCCAATACTAATGTGGTTTTATAAGCACAATTTCATAAGATAATATACAAAAGATTTTGTGTAATATTCTATATGAAAACCAAACTCAAGGTGAGAATTGATGATTCATATATTACTTGATTAACTCACTCCCAAAAGTGAATAGTAATTTATGGAATTAATAGGATAACAAGTATGTTTGCATTATAGTTTCTTGATTATATATGAAAAATAACTATTTGAACAAGAAATAGTGATTAAGTTAAAGAAATTTAGCATGACATTATGAGTTTCGTAGTTGAAAAAAAAATGTATTCATTATGCCCATACTTTAATTTTGAGAATTTTTAATATAAAGATTCATATAATTGGGCAAGAGGAAAAGAATAATTTTGTTTTGTTTGATACTTGTATTGCTAAAGAATTTATGGCTTAAAAAGACCAAGAGATATAAAGATTGTTGGACTATTTGTATACCCCATATGCAAGGATTAGGGGAAGACAGTGTTTATTCCATTGCTTTTATGTAATCCTTGCACATGAATAATTAAATATGTTGATGTTAGTTTGGTACATACACTAGCCTAAATATCTATGATTTATTTCTTAATAGAGGTGGCCACATGATAATCAAATATTTAGAATGATACCATCTGAAGATGGATATGAATAAATGTCATTACCTATATACTAGCTATAAATGTATATATAAACTGATGTCCTAGAAGGACAAGATCAGTTGCTATTGAAACTAGAACATCTAAAGTGTGGTAATCCAAAGGGTTACAACGATAAGAATCCTTGGAAGAGAAAATGAGCAATAATTGACAATGACAAATATGAGTAAGTGACACATTTCCTAAAGATATCATTTCTATTACATTAAAGAGGGTTATGATTATATAAAGTACTCTAGAAGAGTATAAAATGTTGTCCAACAAAAATTAGCATGTATCAAGATTACAATCAATGCTCTAGCGGAGTATGAGTATTAGTTAGTTGTCTTGTCAGTTGTAGAAAGAAACACATTGGTGTATTTATATCACGACCATGCATAAAGTATCTTTAATAAGGTGATCACCAGTATTATAAAACTGACCATAATTTAAATACTTACTAAAGGAAAAGTGATTATTGGATGTGATAATTAAAAATTAGGTCATCCGGGGTTTAATAAATTCCCGTTATGAAAACCTGAAGTTTCATTTGATATGAAAGAAATAATGTGTTGACGCTCTCTCATGTTAAATATATGAAATAAATTGAATGGCGAGACATAACATTGAGATTGAGCTATATTTAGATTGTGATTTTTAATAGTTTGTGTAAAAAGAAAAGTTCAAGAGATAATATATTGGTTTTTCTGAATAATTGGTGACCAGAAGTTCACTAGAATAATTTTTATGTTGACAAATATTAAGTGACTAAAAGCTCACCACGTACAAGTTATATGTGAAAATTTTAAGTAACTAGTATTACTATCAATGTTTCTAGTGATTCCGAAGATCATCACCTAGTGAAATTACAAGAAAGTTTATATTTGTATAACAATTCCCTTGATTGGGTCTATTGTATGTCAGCACATAAGGAATAGAATAAGAAATTAACAACTGCACAATTTGTTACCCTATTAATATTGATCTCTAGAAAAGAACAAAATTCCATTATTCTACAAAAGAGATAGAACTTTGTTTGTTGAATATATATGATTATCCTACGAGATAAAATTTGATGCACATGAAATTATATTCTAAAATTGGTGAAGAATTGCCCCAACATTTGAGATATTTTACCAACTTAGGGGGAAGAATTGAAGTAAGTTGGCAAAATTATAATACTATAAATAGTTGATCCCTCTAATGATACTTTGTAAAGTTACATGCCAACTTTTGTATCAACATATGTTGCACATCTATGATTTGATTTGTATACCATTATGACCCATCTAAAGGAATAGTGAGATATATTTTGATTATGGTGATAATGATATTGTGTGCATACATTAAGATAGATCTTGCCTATTTACTTTAAATCACTGCACCTGAAGTGTAGTTTGTATGATCGGTTCCAACAATATAAATATGCGATACACGGCAAGATAGTGCAGTTGATATTTTAAAGTATAATAATAGTATATTAATACCATAATGTGAGAAATACCCTTAATATGTGGTATAGATATCTAAATTATTATAAAAGATGGCCTATTATGTAAGAAAAGTTATGATGGTACCAATGAGAAATGCATTCAGATATCATAGTAAAATAGCATGCGAAATATACGTTATAGGAATTTTATGATACCGGTACACAATGGAACCGATGAATAATATGCATATGCATGATAGAATGGACGAGTGAAAAGGGATCTGAAATATATGTCCATTTTATTGTCGACATAATGATCAAAAATTTATTATGGACCAGAAGTCCAATGAAATATGGATTTTTAAATCCACACTGTACAGTGTCTTGCATCATTTTGAGTCTTATCTTCATGTGCATGTGTGAGTCATAAGTTAATCGATA